GTCTAAAGTAGGGGTGTTTTGGGGTACCTGGCTGGCTGAGATGGTGGAGTGTGTGACTCTTGATCTCGGGCTTATAAGTTCGAGCCCCACGTTAGATGTAGAGATTACTTAAAAATAAAATCTTAAATAAATATTGTAGGGATGTTTCATGACCACAACCGTTCCTTCGGCGGAAGCTGTGTAACCACGCACACTATTTAGAACCTTCCTACGTTAATTTGGGCAGGGCCTGTGCTGAAGGGGAAACAAGTGACCTGGGAAGCTTTGTTAGAAGCCTTCTACCTTTCAGCCTGGCTTCACCTGGGCTTTGCGGTTACTTGTGTTCTTGAAAGTTTTGTTAAAGTTTTTTTCTTATTTCATTATATTTGAAGTTAAAATTTGCTGGCTTTGATTTGTTTTTGCTTTACAACTTAGCAAAATTGAATAGGAATTCTATATCAAAGTGCCTAGCCTATAGTTTTCATGTAATGTTGCCTGAATGAAAGGATGCACCCCATTTTTCTCGAAGAAAACCTACTCACTTATGCAGGATTTACAGTTTGCTTTTTTCACGTTTGAAATACAAATATCTTTTTTTCTTGCTTTTTCAAGGTGATACTTGTTTACATTTTTTATAATAAAAGTTAGTCCTTTCAGCTATCTGACGAGATGTTCAGAAATAGACCCTTAATTTTTCACGAGTCTGGGCGTAAATATGCGCACATATAAAATGATGTGTATACACAGATACACATACATACATCTAAATCTTTACATATTCATGGATAGGTATATGGACATAATTTCGCATGAATGCTTTTATGTTCTTTTCAGCTACTCTGTCAGTGTTTCCCATACAACATATGACATGGATCCTAAGCAATGAATATGTATAGATTATTTCATACATATTCCCCTGCCTGCTTTGAAAGGGGTTTGGTGGACCTTGCATGGCAACATGTGTCAGACGGCACAAGAAAATTAAAAGAATTGAATTAAATGAAACAAAAGGAAACAGAAGAATAGCCACCAGCCCCTAAAGTTCGTTTATTCACTTCACTGCCATATAGACTTACCTGTGAATTCCGTGATG